ATGAAGTGAAATGAAAGAGAAATCAAATCAAGTGAAATAAAATGGAATGAAATTAAGTGCAATGAAGTCAAATGAAACGAAGTGAAATGAAATAAAAAGATATCAAGTGAACTGAAATGAAATGAAATGAAATGAAGTGAAATTAAATGAAATAAAATAAAACGAAGTGAAATGAAATCGACGTGAAATAAAGTGAAATGAAATGCAGTAAAACTAAATGAAACGAAATAAGATCAAATGAAATGAAGTGAAATTACATCAGATTTAACAAAATTAAATAACACGAAGTGAAATGAAGTGAGAAATTACATTAAACGAAATTAAACAACACGAAGTGAAATGAAGTGAAATTACATAAGATTAAACGAAATTAAATAACACGAAGTGAAATGAAGAGTGATAACACGTGAAATGAAGTGAATCACGAACGAAATTAAATAACACGAAGTGACATGAAGTGAAATGAAGTGAGTCGTGCGCTCGGAAGTGGAACACAGGAAGGAAACGTCATGTCTCTTTCATCTCGAAGATTCATGTCGACTCAATTTCTTCTCTCCTTTATTTTCTCTTATTTATTAATCCATTCACGAACTTATTATCATCATCATCTCTTTGTTTGTCTGTTTCTTCACTTATTTTCTACGATATAATATGATTCTGATGAGCGATAAGGAAATAATCTGATAATTTTAATGTAATGAGAATTGTAATAATAATAAGAATATTGACGAATAGAATGATTTCAAAAACAGAAATGTTCTAATAATGACCGTTATCATAATAATATTAGAGTAAATATAATAGTAATGAAAATAGTAATGATGATGATGATGGTGGTGATGTTGATGATGATGATGGTGATGATTATGATGATGGTGATGATGATGAAGATTATGATGATGAAGGTGATGATGATGATGATAGTGATGATGATGAAGATTATGGTGTGATGGTGATGATGATGGTGATGATGTGTGATGATTATTGAATGGTGATGATGATGAAGATTATGATGATGAAGGTGATGATGAAGATTATGATGATAGTGATGATGATGAAGATTATGGTGTGATGGTGATGATTATGAGGATGGTGATGATGGTGATGATTATGATGATGGTGATGATGAAGATTATGGTGGTGGTGATGATGATGATTATGATAGTGATGATGATGATGATGATTATGATGGTGATGAAGGTGATGATGAAGATAATGATGGAGGTGGTGGTGACAAGTAAATAAACAACAGCAACCAAGAAAGCCCATGAATACCAAAATTATAATAATGATATTGGATTTACGAGCAGTAATAGTCAAAATCAAGTCCACAGAAGCTGACAGAAGGGGATTCGTGGGCGTGTGTGTACGTATAGGTGTGTATAGGTGTGGGCGTGTGTACGTGTGGGCATGCGGGCGTGTGTACGTGCGGGTGTGTGTACGTTGCGGGCGTGTGTACGTGTGTACGTCACCTTCCCCCGCCCTTCCTCACGCCCTCCATCTTGCAGACGTGAACTCAGCCTCCCGCCCACAGCAGCTTTTGCTCCGTTCTGGCCACTTGGTTCTCGACTTTTTTTTCTTTTTTTTTTTTTTTTTTTTTTTTTTTGTCTAAAGAATGATCTTTCTCTTTCCCTCTTCCTCCCTTTCTTCCATTTCTTCTCTTTTTCTTTCCTTCTTGCTTCCCTTCTCTCTTCTTCCTTCCTTTTTCTCTCCTTCTCTTTTGCTTCTCCCTTTTCCTCTCTCTTCCTCTCCCTTCTCCATTCCCTTCCCTTCCTCCCTTCGCTTCTCACTTCCTTCTCTTTCTCTCCTATCTGCTCTATCCCTCCCTTTCCTTTCCTCTCCCTTCTCAACCTTCCTCCCTCCCTCCCCTACCTCCTCCTTCTACCCCTGCCTCTTCCTCCCTCCCTCCTCCTCCTGCTTCTGCTCTCTCCTTTTTCCTCCTTCCTCCCCTACCTCCTTCCTCCTCCTTCCCTACCCCCTGCCTTTCCTTCCTCCCCCTCCCTACCTCCCCCTCTCCCTCCCTCCCCTGCCTCCTCCTTCCCTCCTCCCTCCTCCTTCTTCCCTTCCCTCCCTTCCCCTCCCTCCCCTCCCTCCTTCTCAGACCCGTTACTTTGCCACGCATTCTCTACGCTCCTGTGTCTTCTTCCCCCCCCCCACCCTCGTGTATGTGCGTGTGTGTCGAACATTCAGTGTATATATACTCGGTTGTGTGTGTGTGTGTGTGTGTGTGTGTGCTGTGTGTGTGTGTGTGTGTGTGGTGTGTGTGTGTGTGTGTGTGTGTGTGTGTGTGTGTGGTGTGGTGTGTGTGTGTGTGTGTGTGTGTGTGTGTGTGTGTGTGTGTGTGTGTTGTGTGTGTGGTGGTGTTGTGTTGTGTTGTGTGTGTGTGTGGTAGGGTAGGGAGGTATGTATGTATGTAGGGGAGGGAGGGAGGGAGGGAGAATGAGAGAATAGAATGAGAGAATGAGAGAGAGAGAGAGAGAGAGAGAGAGAGAGAGAGAGA